GGATGTTGTAGATAACATCGGAGCTCCAAAGGAGCGGAAAGCGAGGGTGACACCGGACGACGCGGAGTTCGTGTTCACCCTGGTCTCACTGACATAGAACCTCTGTACAGAGGCGACGGCGATGCCGTATGCTGGCTGCAAGACTCCGGGCGTCGACACTGATCCTGGGTGTGTTTACCGCAGACGACCGTACACAGTTATACACCCTCGTCAATGTAATGACGGGGGAGGAAGATGACGACGTCCGCCTCGAGGCTATGCCTGCAGTAGATACTCTTCTTGAGCTGGACGAGATGTCCGTTGAAGAGTTTGGCAGTGCCTTGTAGGCAGGCGATTTGGCCGAAGTGGTCATTGTACGACCGGCCGAGGAAATAAACTCGTCATCGCGTCTGGATGAAGCTGTCCTGGAAGACACCAAGAGAGTGCTGAACGCACGGAGTGGATAGTCGATCCTACGGAATCCCTTGGATCCGTACTACCTTTGGTAAAGGAATTCCAAGACGTCATCTCTAAAAACCCGCCTTCAGTCCTACCTCCGGACCGAGGTGTGCGTCATGAGATCGACCTGGTTCCGGGAGCCAAATACTGCGTAACACGCCAGTGGCCCCTAACCGAAGAAGCAGTGCGACGTCATTGACGCCTTTTACCGTGCGAAGCAGTCGACACCCACGTTTCGTGACCGGAAGCTGAACGGCAAGTGGCGTATCGTTCAAGCTTACAATAAGCTCAACGCTGCCATCATTCCGGCACAAACACTAATTCCGAGAAAGATGTTCTTTAGAACAACATGGTGGGGTGTACGAAGTACAGTGCACTCGATTTGGTAGATGTATACTACCAATTGCTCATGAGAGCGAGTGACATTCCGCTGACAGCGGTAAGCACTAAGAGCGGCATGCTCTAGGAGTGGCTGGTGATGCCCCAAGGGCTGTCAAATGGACCAGCAAAATTTAATCGTCTTATGACGAAATTGTTCAAGCCCCACAGGTCGTATGCACAGACATACTTTGACGACATTTTCGTTTAAAGTCGAGCGGAGCACGGGAGGACAGATGAGGAGAATTACATCGTCAATTTAAGAGCGGTGCTCGAGTGCATGCGCACGAACAAGCTGTACGCCAATGCATACAAGTGTATCTTTGGCTCAGAAGAGATTTCCTTTTTAGGGTGCTACATTGGAAAGCGTGGCCTTCGAGCGGATCTCGCTGAGGTCAAGGCCGTTGTAGATTGACCAGTTCCAAAGAACAAGAAGAGCTTGCGTAAGTGGCTTGGCCTCACCAACTACTTGCACAGTACAGCGTAAGTTACGCAGAAATGGCGCGGCCATTATCCAATCTCCTTAAAAAGGATGCGGAATGGTGCTGGAAACCCGAACATCAGGAGACTATTGACGGGGTCAAAGACAGCCTCCTGCATACACCGATATGGCACTGTTAGATCCCGATCGTCCTTTCAGCGTCGTCTGTGACGCTTCGGACTTTGCCATCGGCTGGGCACTGCGACTCAGTCGCCCAACCTCCCGTAGAGCATGGCTACATGGCTATCCTTCTTTGTGGAATATACCTTCGAGTTGAATTATAAGCCGGGAAAGCAGAATGCTTTGGCTGACGTGTTGGCACGCAGACCAGATTATGAGCTTGCTCATGTTACAACTGTAACGTTGTCGGTGACAGATTTGATCCGCACCGCGTATGCGGGTGATGAGATGGGTGTAGAGTTGCTACGGGCTCTACGGAGCAAGGAGTTTGGAAACTCGGACAAGAAATTATCACAAAGACTGCGCCGATATTCGTTGGACAACAAGTTGCTATATAATAGCATCGATTCATCGGATACACCACGAATTGTGGTTTGTCATGATGAGGATTTAAAATACAGCATCCTCTATGAGGCGCACGACACGCCACTCAGTGGTCATCTTGGTCGGGAGAAAACGTACAACCCTGTTAGTCACCACTATTGGTGGCCCAAGTTGTACAAATGAACGAGCGTCTATGGGCACACGTCTGAGACGTGTCAACGGGTAAAACCCTCTCCAAATATGGCTGCGCCGCTAACCAGCTTACCATTACCCACTAGGTGCTGGCAGTCAATGTGTTTAGACTTTGTGTTTGGCCTGCTAAAAGATTATGCGGGCAACACGGGTGTCGTGGTATTCGTCGACCGGTTGAGCAAGGTGGCTTATTTAATGGCAGTACCAGATACCATCGACGGAGTCGGTACAGCAACGCTGTTCGCAGATCGTGTTTTCCGACAACACGGACTCCCAGAGTCGATTGTCTCCGGTAAAGACCTCCGTTTCACGGGAAAATTTCGGTCGACTATCATCAAGGTGCTCGGCACCAAGTCGGATATGTCGACAGCGAATCATCTACAGACCGATGGTCAAATCGAAAGGGTGAATCGCGTACGTTCTTCGCAGCGTCTGCGCTGAGACGCCAAGGCACTGAT